CCGTTTTGCATCCGTCATTTCGGGCTCTATGTGTTCGGAGTCACTTGAGGATTCAATGCTCAATCACCTTAGATGTCTAGTTGGAGAAATGTCTTCTCCACTTTCTGATGTGTCGGCCTCTTTTCTTGATCTTAGGTTGTAGTGTGTTATAGGTGCTCATTCACAACCTAATGACAAAGAAAATAAGAAAAATAAATAGAAAAACAACAAAAAGAAAAATATTGCAATTAACAAATTGATAGAACAATCCCGACGACACAGCGCCAAAATTGATACGTTGCAAATTACGTTCCAATTAATTTTCCTTACTTAACGTAAATGTGTCGTCTTAAATAGTATTATGGCAAGTAGAGGTCATTTCCTGCAGAGGATTGATTCAATTATGTCGATTACACACTAAAAAGTAAAATTAATAATAATATACAAAATAGATAAAATGAGAGGGTTTGGTTTGTTGAACTAAGGAAAGCAATAATTTTAAATTAGAAAAGACTTGGAATTTGGAATAAACAAATTGGTTATTGATTGAATGTGAGAAAATATGATTGGGGGATATTTCGTCACCACGAGAATGATTTTCATGTCAATAATCACAATAGATTTTCGTTATTAGGATTAATAATAATTCGAGAATAATTACAAGCCCAATTACCTCAATCTCTTCTTACATGTTAGTTGCATAAAACAAGCTCTTTACTCAACCATATTCATTAAACAACTTAGAATAAGCTCTCTAGATTTAATTTAACAAACGCATTACGACAAAAGAGATGAATTGAATTAAAGGTAAACTCGCAAGCTCGGTTTACTAACTTAAGTGTAAATCCACATACATTCAATTGAAAAAATTTCATAATCTATCGAAATGTAATTGCTACTAGATTTTAGAATCAATAGCTATTATGTACTACTAATCCCAAAATAGCATTCATCGAAACAACTTAATCATTTAGTTATACACCTAAACAATCAAGAAGAACAAAATAAACATTTAACACAATGAGTTAAACACATTAATCAAGAGAATTATAAAACACAAATTAATTGAAAATCATAACTCGGGTTTGAAATAATCCCCAATCACAAATATAAATAGTTACCCATGAAAAGAAAACATTGACAAAATATTCACAAATAACTAACAATTTCTTACAAAATATTGATGGAAAAAGTGAAAAGAAAAACTTATTGATAAAGAGAGAAATTGGAGAAAATCCTTCAATATCAATGGGTCATCTTCTCCAAGCTAATGCACCATCTCCATGTTCCAATCTTCCCCAAAATATCTAAGAAAATATAGGTGAAAGAGAAAGGAAAAAGAAAGAAAATAAAAGACAAGAAGAAGAAGAGTCAGCTGCTCCCCTTAAGTTTCAAGAACGAGAAGTTTTATGTTTGGTTGAATGTTTTAAACTAAAACTTAAAGGAAATTGTAGCATTGGCCCCTGAGATTTTGAAAACAATTAAAAACGATCCGAGTGGCGCCTAGGCAACGAAACAGTGGCTCTTGGGCGCCACAGTTTCTGTCAGCTCACTGAATTTTTATTTTTTTATTTTTAAATAGAAACATCCTCTTTCAACATCTTCATGCTTCATTTAGCCTTTTCATCTTTTCTCGCATAAATACCTTCTAATCATTGTTCAAAATCTGATTTTCACCTACATAATAAAAATAACTAAATTAAGTAATAAATCGCTAATGAAACTCACAAATATCTAAGTTTAATAGCCTGGAATAGTGCAAAAATCTGCACTTATCAAACATCACAATCAACATAATTTAAATTCAATTCTTCCCACTTATTCAAGTCTACCCACTTGTCCACCTCACAATCAAGTGAAATTTAATTTTTTTAATGGTCATGACTCGTGCTATAGAATTATACTTTACAAAGAGTCCGTTCAATACACTTCAAATACACTAGTGTCGCAATTAAACTATTTCTACTATAAAAGCAACTCAAATTCGAATAATAAAATAGTCAATAACTGTGTTTCCTCTTATATATTGATTGTGAATAATTTTATTTATGATCAAAATATACGTTTTGTCATGCAGTGCTTCTCAATTCAAGCATGCAACTTGTATTATTATAAATGATCGTTTGGCTCAATTATTCACATGTTCAATATTAAATAAAATACACTAATACTATATAAAAATAGAATTTAGTTACTATAGAATTGTTATTTTATCATAGGAAAATTAAACTATATGGACACACAACCTATTAAAATTGTCATCCTATCTTAACCTAGTGCTTTTGCGCAATTATTTTTGTGTCTTTCCCGATAATGGAAATAAATGATATTATATGGGAAAATATAAGTTCTCAACTCGAGCGAGGGTGAGTCGTCTTACACGTCACTCAATTCTATATCATCGTTCTTATGAAAAAAATATTTTCAAGTCTAAAAAATAAATCGTAAAGTCATATATTAACTTTAATTAAATATTTCGTAGAACCTACTACTACTATACACTTTTTGTTATCTTATAATCGAAAATGTAAGATGTCAATTAAATAAGTAGTAAGGTAAATCTAATAATCCAGATTTTATTTTATTTTTTTTTCACGTGAACTGTATATCTAACTAATAGTTTAACCATGCGTAACTTCTATTTAAGTAAAAATAATTAAAAATACTTTTAATTACAATATGATAACTCTACAAAATTAATTAAAAATGCACTAATAAACAATTTTAGGGTTTTTTTACTTGTATATGAAAATATTAAGGATCACGAGCTCACCATAGTTATTCCATTAATTTCAATCCTCAAATTTATACAACAATCAATTATGTGTATCCAATTGAATTTTTATAAATTAATTGATTTCCATCACTCGAGTTCATACAAATTCTATTCGGTGAAGTTACCTTACTAGATCACTATGTGAATCAAAATAAGCCTTAATTAAAAGCATTCAATCATCAAAAAATTCAATTAAGAATTACAAAATTAGTAAAATTGTATCTCTATTTTCTACCCAAATTTCAAGTTTATTACGTGATCTAAACAAATAGCTAATGTCTCAACATGTTACTCACATATCAATGAATTAATTAAAAAAAAAAAAAAAAAAAAAAAAAAAAAAAAACAATGAACGCACATTAATTGAATATTAAAACATTAAAATTTAACTTTAAGGTTCAAAGCATCCTAACTTTTGGTTTAGTTACACAACATGGTGGAAGAAAAACACGAAAGGGGTTCAGAGTCCATCATCGGAATTAAAGGAAAAATGAGAAAAAGATCTTCTTCTTACACCGAGAATCCCCCTTCTCCTTGAAAAAGTCTTGAAACCCTTTCTTCCTTCCTCTCGTCCCATGTATTTTTCTTCTATTTTCTCATCTTTGAATCATGTATTACCCATGTGCTAAACCTCGTTGTGACGGAAAATAAGTTTTTATATGGTACTTGTCTCAACTTTGAAGTCATGTGTCAAAAAGCCACCCAAAAATAAAAAATAACTTTTCCTTATCGAGGCGTGATTTGCAAAGTGCAAACTAAGGCCATACTCAAAGAACTGGGGCAACTACTGTCTGATCGGGGTAAGCAAACCGCCCCGGGGGGGGGGGGGG